GAAGATGTATGATCTTTCTTATATTTTGTATGTGTGTGCTATTAGTCTTATTGAACAATCATAAAAGGAAGAGTACTGTTCTTTCTTACAGTATTGGCTAATGCTTTAAATCTTTTTGATATTGGCTTTTGTGATGCTATTCTAATTTGTCTTTATGACCTATTTTCTGGGGTCTCTTACTAGCTTTTAACTGTAAATGTCAGTTTTGGCTTTATTTATAAGTCTTTGTTTTCTTCTTTTTTTATTATTTTATTAATTTCATTTATTCATTCATTCATTTATTTTAATTTGACCAGAGAGACACAGAAAGAGAGAGAGAGGAAAGTGAGAAAGCAAGCCACCAGGTCCGGGACTCAAACCATGGTCGGCCATGTGGGAATGTCCAGCGCCTTAACCACCACGCCACTTGCCAGTCCCAATAAGTCTTTATTTTCTTATCTTTCACTTACTCATTTAGAGTTCATGTACATGAATTTTAGTTAACTCCAGAGACATTTCTGGAGCCATATCTTTTTATGAATTATCTAATCTTACAGTGCTTGCATAAAATCATCACCTAAATTCTCAGTACCAGATCTTTTGAAAGCTAGGTAAAAAGATTATTTTAGCTACTTTCTGTTATCATCCAATTTACCTGTTCAAAACGTGGGAAATGTTATTTCTTTCAGCTTTGCCACATATCTGATCTATGTGCAGAAGTAATTTGCTTGCTAATGGTCAGACTTTGCCTTTGCCCAGTATACACTACTAACTCTACCTTGGTCTACTTGCTACCCTTCAAAGCCCAACTCAAATTGTTTGTGATGTTAACTCTTCCTCAGTCAACCTTATCTGGTTATTATTTTATGTTCTCATCACCCAGTCAGTATTTAGATGCTCATACTAGTTAGCACTCATATTCAGTTTATTTTTCAGGTTATTGAAATACATCTAAACCCTAGAAATTGGTTAGATTAAGTAAAACTTTAGTATACTGAAATAATTTAGGCTGTATCTTAAAAATTGTTGAAGTAGTAATTGACTTTCGTTTTTATAATCAGCTATCCATTTCATAATTTAAAACCTCAAGTTTTTTGTTGTTAAGAGGTTTTTGCCTTTGGACTTGTATGCTCACTGGAGAAACAGAAGTGGAACTGAAAAGTCACCCCCCAGGGGAGTGGCCACACTGCAATCTCTCCTCCTTCACACCACCATCTCTTCTCCTCCACTCTCTTCCCAGGATTTTGGGCATACACACATATGTGCCCCGGGTGATTTTGAAGCTACCAAATCCAGGACTTGAACTGCAGTCAGCCGTGTGGGAGTCCAGCAATGTAACTAGCCACTGCACCATATGCTGGCCCCAAACCTCAAGTAGTTTTAACAACAAAAGACAGTTTTATAATCTTTGTTTTCATTCTGCAAAGACAGTTTTCAAGTCTTCTGGCTGAAATATTTTCTTTTGAAAATATTTACTATTGACTATCTGCTGTGAAAGATGAGAATTTAGCCCTCAATCCTTCTCATTTCACACATACAGACACACTTTTTTTTCTTTCTTCATCCACATAACAAAGTTAATTTTTTCTCACATTAAGTTCAGTACGGGTGTTTTTGGCAGTATACCTATCAGAATTGGGGCACTGGTTTTCACATGGTCCACAGACTCCAGAAGGGTTCCCAGATCCCTTCAGGGAATATTTTCATTACGTACTAAGATGCTATTGTATTTTATGTTTTTCACCCTCATTCTTTCACAGGTTTATAGTGGAATTTTCTAGTGGCTATGTGATTGATCATCACAGTGATAGCTTGTTGAACGTGTATTTGGCTTCTGCTTTTTCCTAGAACCTTCTAAAATAAAACTGCCTCAATAGATTGTATGTAGAAGCAGCTGTGAAGATTTACTTGTGTTCTGTCAAACCACATATTAAGGAGCTTCACAAAAATGTAGAGCTCTAAATATAGTTTGTTTTGAAAAAAATTACTTTTCATTTAAAATCATTATATATGTTACTGTGTGTTTGGTTTGATTTTTAGTAGACCCTGAATAAATTAACTGGTTTTGTTTAATTAGAAATAGATTCTGTTATATTTTAAAATACCATCTACTAGATATTTAGTATCACTACTTAAAATTTGTTATGAAATTGAAAAGAACAGTTTTCTTTAATACTTATTTAAATTATTTATTTAACTTTATTTATTCATTCATTCATTTTTTATTTATTTTAATTTGAGAGAGACACACACACAGAGAAGGTGAGAAAGCAAGCCACCAGGTCCAGGATTTGAACCGTGGTCAGCTGTGTGGGAGCATCCAGCGCCTTAACCACCATGCCATCACTGATCCCTTTTTAATACTTTTTATTTGGCATGCTATGTTTTAGGAAGCTTCTGGTATTTAATGTTATACTGTTAGAGACTCATAAGCTTCAACTCAGTTTGCCAGAAGTTTGTTTCCCAAATTCTCAAGAGAAAACAAACTTTTATTGAGAGTTTCATCAGCGTTTCAACAAATATTTGTCAGTCATTTTATGGTCGGGTGCTATGAGAAATGGAAAGAAGAAAGCTCCTGCCTGATTGACTTGGCCTTAGTATAGATTTATCCCCATGTCTTAAACTTTCAGCATCTTCTCATGTAGAGTGAGTCATTGCAAAATCTTCAGGGATCAAAAAACAAATTGATTTTATGTGCTAGATTAAATTAAGGTAGCAAAGATGCTACATTATCTCAAAAATTTAACAATAAAGTATACGAAGCAAAGTTTTCAAATTAGTATTAAGATAAAATTTGTTTAACTGATGTAATTTTATGTACCACTTCAGAATTTACCAAGGCATCCAAGCCTATTGTTTCATCTAATCATAATGTTACCCTTTTCAGTTAGATTCTATCTGTTATTTAAATAATGTGGCTGATTTAAGCATTCAAATAATAGCTGACTTGCACAAGAATGCATATAGATTGAGCTCAAATTTAGGTGTTCTGTTTCTGATCCTATGCTTTCAGTGTAATTAAAACTTTTTTTCTTTCTTTTTAGTGTTTTTGTTTGTTTTTTAATTTTTTCCCCCATAAGGGTACATGCATTCAACACAGAGAAAAGGGAAGTGAGAGACCACCCCCTGGGGTATGGCCACACTGCAATCCCTTCTCCATTCCGGTGAGATTTTGGGCATGCCAGCAACATGCCTTTCAGGCTGCCTGGTCCAGGACTCAAACCATGGAGTCAGCTATGTGGGGTCCAGTCCTTAACCACCATGCCAACTGCTGGCCCAAAACACAATATTTCTTTCTTTCTTTTTTTTTTAAAGAATTATTTTTGTTTAACTGTATATATTTATTTATTTTAATTTGATGGGGGGGAGGGGAGAGGGGGAAAGAGGGAGGAAAAGTGAGAAAGCAAGCTACCAGGTCCAGGACTCAAACCATGGAGTCAGCTATGTGGGGACCAGTCCTTAACCACCATGCCAACTGCTGGCCCAAAACACAATATTTCTTTCTTTCTTTTTTTTTTAAAGAGAGATTTTTGCTATAGGACATGTGTTCTTTTAGGCACGCACAAAAGCGAAAAATCACCTGCCATTGGGGATTGCCACACCATAATCCCTTCTCATCCACTCTCCTCTTGGAATTTTAGGCACGCACATAAACATGCCCAGCATGAGTTTCAAGCCACCAGGTCCAGGGCCCAAACCCTGGTTGACCATATGGAATTCCAGTGATGTAACCATTGCGCCGTCTTCTGGTCCCAACACAATATTTCTTAAGACTTTAAAGTGGTTGACATTCTGCTACACTTCAAGATAGTACAAAGGCCTTGACCATGATAAACTTCTTTTTTGAGAGAGAGATATTTTCTATAGGGCGTGTGCGCTTGCCAGAAAGACAGAGAAAGACAGATAGACAGAAAGCTAGAAATCACTCCCTGGGATAGATGGCCACGCCTCAGTCCCTTCTCCTCCAGTCTCCTCTCGGGATCTTGGGCATGCATGCACACGCACCTGGTATGAGTTTAAGCCTCTGGGTCCGGGACTCAAACCACAGTCGACTACATGGGAGTCCAGCGACATAGCCATTACTCCAACTTCTGGTCCCTATTATAAACTTTTTTAGTTAACCCAAATCACTAGAAGAAGTATGTAAGTTCTCATTCTGGGTATAGATCATACAAACTTAGTAAACTGTTAGATTCAAATTTCTTTTTTTTTTTTTTAATAATTATTTTATTTAACTAACTTTCTTTCTTTCTTTCTTTTGATTTGACCAGAGAGGGGCAGAATGAGAAAAAGAGAGAGAAAGTAAGAAAGCAAGCCTCCAGGTTTAGGACTCAGGTCATGTGGGAGTCCAGTGCCCTTAACCACTGTGTCACCTGTCGGCCCCTGGATTCAAATTTCAATGGCTTGAATTTTTGGCTTGAATTTTTCTTGTTTTAAACTATTGAAACCCTTCGTGTATGTTTTTTTTTTTTTTTTTTTTTTGATCTCCAGGACAACAGTCTCTAACCAGAATAGTGGGATACAGTCAGAACATTGAGCAAACACCTGTAATAAAGGATTCTCCCTCGCCTACACCTAACAAGAATTTTTAAATGAGATTTTTGAGGGTTACATGGTATGAAGGATTTGCCCACAGATAATGGTTCCCTCCCCCCAAGAGTTTTTGCTATAGGGCACATGCACTCGCCAGAAAGACAAAAACAGACAGAAAGTGAGAAATCACCCCTCAGGGGCAATGGCCACGCCGCAATCCCTTCTTTTCCATTCTCCTCTCGGGATCTTGGGCATGCACCCACACAAGCCGGTGTGAGTTTAAGCCACCAGGTCAGGAACTCGAACTGCTGTTAACTACATGGGAGTCCAGCAACATAGATAACCATTATGCCAACTGCTGGTCCCAACAGATAATGATTTTAAAAATCATCATTAGTATTGGCACAGAGAATGTTCAGCTATCAGTTTTGAGTCTAAATTAATTGCTTATTATTAATTTGGTTGGTGGTTTTTCTTTCTTCCTGTAGGTATGTAAAAGAATGGATTTGGTGTGCCAGAGAATGTTGAATCAGGGATTTCTGAAAGTGGAGAGGTACCATAATCTATGTCAAAAACAAGTTAAAGCACAACTTCCAAGGTATGTTAGATTTGGCAATGGCAATAATTTATGATTAAGGCTTTTGTGTGTTTGTTGATTTACTTTTTTTTTATTTAAATCTCGGTTTGCATGTTGAATGGTTTTCATGTTTTTATAGCAAAGAGCAACACAGGTTACAAGTTATTTCTACTATGATATGCCCACTCACCATTCTGTTCAATATTTTACTAGAATTTCTAGCCAGGACAGTTAGGCAAGAAAATGAAACAAAATTCACCCAAGTAGGAAAACACTCGGGGCTCACTAGGTGTCATAGTGGTTAAGGCAGCTGTGTAGTTCAAGTCCCCAATTTGGCACCTTTAAAAACACTTAAGGTGGGACCAGCAGTTAGCGTAATGGGTATGTTGTTGGACTCCCATGTAGTTGACTGCGGTTCGCGTCCCGGACCCAGTGGCTTAAAACTCAAGCTGGGCACATGTGTGTGTGCCCAAGATCCCGAGAGGAGAATGGAGGAGAAGGAATTGCGGCCTGGCCATCCCCCCTGGGGCGTGATTTCTCACTTTCTGTCTTTCTGTCTCTGTCTGTCTGGCGAGCACACGCGCCCTATAGCAAAAAGCTCTCCAAAAAAAAAAAGCCACTTCAGGTGTGTGTGCATGCATGCTCAAAATCCCCAGAGAAGAGTAGAGGAGAAGGGGTTGCAGTGTGGATGTGGTCATCTCCCCTGCAGGACAGGGGGAGGCTTCTCACTTTCTCTCTTTCTCTCACCCTCTGTCTTTCTCTGGTAAGTGCACACCCTATGACAAATTTAAAAAATATAGAAGTAAAACACTGTTCACAGGTGACATGATCTTGTATGTAAGGAATACACTGGTTATTAGAGCTAATAAATTAGCTCAACAAGGATATAGCGAATGAGATCAGTATACAGACATCAGTTGTATTTCTATAGACTCTCAATAAGCAATCTGAAAGTGAAATTTAAAAAACAACATTGGCATATTGGTTAAAGTGGCTGGATCCCATGTGACAGAATACAAGATTCAAGTTCTATACTCAGCAGCTTGAAAAACAGGGACCAGCAGGTGGCATGATGGTTACGTCACTGGACACCCACATAGTCAACCAGTTTGAGTCCTGGACTTGTGTGCTTAAAACTCATACCAGGCACAGGACCAGCAGTTGGCGTAATGGCTATGTTGCTGGACTCCCACGTAGTCAACCGCGGTTTGAGTCCCGGACCCAGTGACTTAAACTCACGCCCCGGACCCAGTGACTTAAACTCAACGCCAGGTGCGTGTGCGTGCATGCCCAAGATCCCGTGAGGAGAATGGAAGAGAAGGGATTGCGGCGTGGCCATCCTTCCTGGGGGGTGATTTCTCACTTTCTATTTCTGTTTCTCTCTGGCAAGTGCACATGCCCTGTAGCAAAAACCTCTCCATTTAAAAAAAAAAAAAATCATACCAGGCACAACGCATGCATGCCCAAAATCCTGAAGGAGAGAATGGAGAAGGAGAAGGGATTGCGGTGTGATCATTCACCCTGGGGGTGTGTGTGTGTGCTTTCTTTTCTTTTCTTTTTTTTGGGGGGGGTGGTGGTGGGGGAGAGATTTTTGCTATAGGGTGCATGTGCTCGCCAGACAGACAGAGAGAAAGCAAAAAATCACCCCCCCGGGGGGATGGCTATGCCACAATCCCTTTTCCTCTATTCTCCCCTCGGGATCTTGGGCACGCATGCACATGCACCTGGCATGAGTTTAAGCTGCTGGGTCTGGACTTGAGCCGCGGTCAACTACATGAGAGTCCAACGACATAGCCATTACACTAACTGCTGGTCCCTATTTCTGGAGGTGCTTTCTTACTCTCCCTCTCCCAACTCCCCATCTTTCTCTGGCAAGCACATGTGCCCTTTAACAAATTAAAAACCAAAAAGACCACTTCACTTATAGCAACATTAAAGAGTAAAATATTTAGTAAAAAAGAAAACAAAAGTACAAAATATGTATTCTGAAAAACTACAAAGCGCTGAAAGGAACTAAAAAAGACTTAAAAGACATTCTGTTTTCATCTATTGGATGACTTAATATTGTTAAGATAGCAGTATTCAACAAATTGATCCATACATATAATGCGATCCCTATCAAAATCTCAGCTTTCTTTTTTGCACAAATTGACAGGCTAAGTCTAAAATTCTTATGGAAATGCAAGAGCCTTGGAATAACCAAACCAATCTTGAAAAAGAACAATGTTTGGGAACCAGCAGTTAGCGTAATGGCTATGTCGCTGGACTCCCACGTAGTCGACTGCGGTTCACGTCCCGGACCCGGTGGCTTAAAACTCACGCCAGGCGCGTGTCCGTGCGTGCCCAAGATCCCGAGAGGAGAATGGAGGAGAAGGGATTGCGGCGTGACCATCCCCCCTGGGGGGTGATTTCTCGCTTTCTGTCTCTGTCTCTCTCTGTCTGTCTAGCGAGCGCACGCGCCCTACAGTGAAAATCTCTCAAAAAAAAAAAAAGAACAATGTTAGAGGACCAACGCTTCCAGATTTTAAAATTTGTTGCAAAGTGTTATTAATTAAAACACTGGGGCCAGCAAGTGACATGGTGGTTAAGGGTACTGGATTCCTACATGGCCAACTGTGGTTCAAGTCCCAGACCTAGCAGTTTGCTCGTTCGCTCGCTTTCTCTCTCCCTCTCATTATCTCATTCTTTCCCACTCTGGTCATATTAAAATAAATAAAGGTATATAAAATAATTCTAAAAGAAAATTACAGAGCTAGCATAAGGATAAATACACAAATAACCACGAAGTCAAATTGAGAGTCCAGAAAATAAACTCATGGTTTTATTCAATTGATTTTCAACAAGGATGCCAAGACAATTTAATAAGGGAAATAATATTGTTTTTAACAAATGATGCTAGGACAAGTGGGTATCTACATGTAAAAGTAGTTCTATTCCCCCCACCTCAACCCCCCCCCCTGCTTTTTAAGTTTGTTTATTTATTCAAAGTAGGTAGGGGTCAAGGAGAGAGGCAATTCATGCTGTGATCCAGCCCCAGACTCAGCACACCTGGCTTGCTCAAGGTCATCTTGGGACATAAACCCATGACTTTTCCCATGTGGGTCCAGTTTCATTATCACCACACCGCTACCTGGCCTCTAGACCCTATTTTTAACCCTGTACATAAAAATTAACTCAGATAGGGAACTAGCAGTTAGCATAATGGCTATGTTGCTGGACTCCCATGTATTCGACCGCGGTTCGCGTCCCGGACCCGGTGGCTTTAAACTCACGCTGGGCGCATGTGCGTGTGTGCCCAAGATCCCAGGAGGAGAATGGAGGAGAAGGGATTGCGCCGTGACCATCCCCCTGGGGGGTGATTTCTCGCTTTCTGTCTCTATGTCTCTCTGTCTGTCTGGCGAGCGCACGCGCCTTGTAGCGAAAACCTCTCCCCAAAAAAAAAAAATGAACTCAGATGAATCATAGGAGCCACGTGGTGGCATAGCACAGTGCTCTGCAATGCTGGGTCCACCTGAAAGGTACCAGGTTTGTGTTCTGGGACCTCCCTCTACATTGCCAGAACACATATAACTGGTGATCCAGTTAGCTGAGACTGGAGGTAGATGGTGATGTGTGGAACCCGTTGGGGGTTTGTGTGTGTATCTGTGAGTGTGCGTGTATCTGCGTGTGTGTATGTGTGTGTGTGTGCGCTTCACTCCTGGGACTGGAGGGAATGAGAGTGACTAATTGTTATAAGCTTTATGTTTTGGTAATTAAATGTTCTGAAACTAGGTAGTATAGTGGTGTGATAATTGTATAATCCTGAATATATTAAACGTCACTAAATTGTACACATCAGTGGATTTTATTATATGTGACTTATTTTTCAAAAGTATTGCAAAGTATACAGGAGCTCAATTTTATGGGTAAAAACACGTTCTCTTGCCTGTATGTTATGTAGTTCTCTCATTTACATAACGTACTAGTCGTTGGCAAAGATATTGGCATAGTAATTCATCCATCGTTACAGTTAAAGTATTTCCCAGTTGCTGATGTCTGAATTAACATGTCCAAGCACTGTTTCCTTAAGACATTGTGAAGGCATAACATTTTAGGTCACAGTACTGTTTTAATGGTTGTCTTTTTAAAAATTATTATAGGAGAGAGTCAGAAAGGAGAAACCATTCATTAGCTCGTCATGCAGATATCCTTGCTGCTGTTGAAACAAGGCTGTCACTATTAAATATGACCTTCATGAAGTATGTGGATTCCAACCTCTGTTGCTTCATCCCAGGAAAGGTAAAATAGAATTGCTTGCCTAGAATAACTGAATTGCATGGTATAAGCCTTGAATTATGGTCATCTGCCATATAATGACCTTTCAATCAGTAATACACTGCATACTCATTGGTGGTCCAAAAGAGTATAATGGAGCTGAAAAATCCCTTTCACCTGGTGACATAGCCATCATAAAGTCATAGCATAGTGAGTTACGTGTTCATGTAATGTTGGTGTAAACAGACCTGTGCTGCCATTCAGGTGAAAGTATAGTACATATAGTTATGTATAATACGTCAGAATTGAGGGGACCAGCAGGTGGCATTTTCTGTAGGTAAATCTTCTTTAGTGTCTCAGTTGGCCACTTCAACCTTTTTCCCCTTTCTCCCCTTTTCCCTTTTGTTTGCACTCTTTTGTCTGAAGATTTATCCTTCCCTGCTGCCTTTTTTGGCTTCGCCTCCACTTTTGCAGGAGGTTTAGCCTACAACCTCGCTGATCTCCTCTTGGGCTCTTCCTTGGTCGCCTCCCCGCTTCAGGCTGAGCTGACCTTCCTCTTGGGCATCTTGGCTGTGGACAGGGTGTGTGCTGGGCTCCTGATGAGGCAGCGGCGCACCTAGAGCCTTTGCGGAGTTGAGCGGATAAACCCTACTGCTCCTCCCCCCACCCGAGCTGCCGGGACTCACACTCCAACTCTAATTTGTGAGCCTTACCTGAGAAGCTTTTTGAAGCAGTATACATTATCCCTTATAGCTTCATAGTTTTTATTGCATATTTTATTGATAAGAATTTGAAATTTTAACTTCAAAGACAGCTTAATTGTTAACAAAAGTTGAATAGTTTGTGGCAGAGCTGATATGACCTGCAGAGATTAAAATATTTAACATCTGGCATTTACAGAAGTAGCCAATCTTTGTTCTAGTTGATAAGGATCATCACATGATTGGAATGGTGATGTTTACTGCCTAAGCAGATAATATTAAATCCAGTTGAGTCACGCTGTTTTTTGGAAACCATTTGTTGACTTTTCACTTCAAATTCTAGTGTCACAATAAAAGAACGAAATTTAAGTGGCCACAGTGGAGAACATTTTATTTTTCAATATTTAAGTACGTCCTTGTGAACATTTGCTCTCCACAGCTCTTGAGCTGAAGGCTTTACCTCACCTGCAATAGGACAGCAGTTGGGAAGGAATTGTGTGCCTAATTCTCCTTTATAATGTGGACATCAATCTGTCCCTTTCTCTTGTCGCAGCTATATTGTTTTCTTCTCTTTTGTTGTCATTGCATATCTTATATGCACATAGCACTTTCTGATTCTTAGAGGATTTTCATATACTCTATCTTCTTTATTTTTTAATCAAAGCCTTGTGTAGAAGATAGAACAAGTATTATTATCACTATTTCATAGATGT